CTAACTCAAAACTTCTCAAACTCCTCAATCATGATGAGTTGGTCTAGGAATCATCTTTATAACATCTCTATACATTATTCCATGATCTCATGGCCCTTGGATTAGGTTTTAACCTTCTCCAAATCTTCAGCTGGTCTAGGGTTGACCCAGTCAAAACCCTAATTCTACCATTCATGGTTGAATCTTCTGAACTCTTGCATAATGACTTCTCAGGGCTTCATGATGGCTATCAAGACATCTCATAGGCTTTCTCAAATCATCAAATTCATTCTCAAAGTCTCAGAATCATCTGAGGAGCACCCACAACTTTCAAACTGTGAAGCACACAACCCTGGTTTCAACCCACTCCTCTGAGGATCTCTTGAGCTTTTTGATGAAGGTATCCACTTTCAAACACTCAATGAATGAATAATTGTTGGTCAAATTTTGGGGTGCAACAACGCTGTGGGGACTGGTCCACGATTGTGGACCACCCCCGTAACCGACCAGGTAACCACCCCGGTCAACCGGCCAGTTCCCTACACTCCCGGGCACAACGAATGTCAAGCTATGACTCCCAACTTATCAAAAACAAATATTAAGCATAACAAATGTACGAGCAAGCATAACAATGCAAACAGAAATGTAAACCATGCAAATATAGTCGAGCACACACACATACTTAGAAAATAAAACAAGAAATTCCATAAACGGTCACTAACCTAGAATTCAAATCGTTACAATATATAGGCACAAGTCCCGAATCAAATAAAACATGGCGCGCAAGCCGAAACTACCGGGCACGCAGGCCGAATGAAAAATAAAGGGGCACGCAGGCCACCATCCATACTCTATAGGTTCCTCCTCCTCACGGACAGCTTGGTTGCCTTCCTGGTCATCCGGTGAAAGGGACTAATTTTGTCGGTCACCAGGTCAGGATTGACGAGCTTGAGTTGGTCGACAGCATGCTTAAAGCCCACTTCGACGGCCCCTAGGCAGTCCTCCTCGAGCTGGTGAACCTTGGGCACGAACCCTTTCCTAGACGAAACCAACCGCTCCTCTTCGGATTCATCTTAGGCAGGGGAGACCAGGTCCTCGAGCTCAGCGATGCGACCGTTGTCCCCTTCAGCTCTTCATCCCTTTCCTTCAAGGCATTCTCCAGCTCCTCAATCCGTCCCCGGTGGAGCATGTCCTGCCTCTGATACTCCTTTTGGTCAGCCGCCAGCTTGGCCCTAACCTCCTCGAACACCGCGAGGTTGCTCCTGACAGCAGCTAGGTCCTCCGCGGAGCACCCCACCTCATTCAGCACATGGGCCCTCTCGAAGACCCTCACCATCGCCGCTAGATCTGCGGGTATCATCTTCTACTGAGCCTCCTTGCCCGCAGCCAGTATGCTCTTGGCTTCCTCGGGCGCCACCGCAGGATCGTTTCGCCCTAAAAAGAAATTTGACCGGAGACAGCAAAGGGACATGACGAATCCGCTCTCCGGGGACCCGTCCGTCAGATCAATCTGAGGCACCTCGTCCTCCAATCGTCTTTTGTGAACCAGGGGCTGCATCGGGGACCCAGTTCCCCGCGGAGATGAGGTCGTTCCCGAAGAGCCATCGGCCAGCTCCCTCCGCGCAGCAGGGGCCCGACCTTGAGCACGACAGGTTCCCCTGTTCATCAGCATCGTCACCCTTTCCTCCACGGAACCCATTGAGCATACAAAACAAACACAAGATAAACGGTTAGAAGCGAAATCTAGACAAGTATAAAAAGCAGCCCGGAGGCACTCAAACTACCTAGGAACCGATGAGCCTCAGCTTTTGTCTTGCATTCGAGCAGAGCCTTTACATTAATATATCGGGCCTCTATCAGTATTTGCCCATCTTCGCCGCGGATATACTCCCCGTCGGGGGACACACACTTCCGAGGAGGAAGGCGACCGACGAAGTCCACCAGCCTCTGGAAGGCCAGATTGTCCTTCTCGCCCAGTCGACCAGGCCTGAAGATGAAGTTGTCAGTGGCCGAACGGAAATGCTGATCCCCCCAGTCCAAGGGGAAATAAGACTCATAGTTGTCCTCGAAACTCCCCTCCACGACTACCACTTCCTTTTGAAAAACTGTCTCGTACGCGTCGTCCGTGGCTGGCATAACCACGAACCAGCGGTCTTTAAAGCCTCGAACAAAGTCAGTATACAGGTAGAGAATCCTGGTCGCCTGCTTCAGTGAAACCTAGCTATGTCGACCATCCGTCGTCTGACGTTGCAAATGAAAGACGCGGAAGAATAGGGGAATGGTGGCTCCGAGCTCCAAATACTTGCACACGATCTCGAACGCTCGGAAGAAAGCCAGTGAGTTCGAGTGAAGCTGGGAAGGCACCAGCATTAGGTGGTCCAAAACGCCTTGCTAAAAGCCGATAAAGGGCAGTCGCATGCCCACCTCCTTGAAGGCGAACTCATACATGGGGAACCGGCCACCCTCATAACGCAAGCAGATACGATTGACCTCCCGAGGCCGGCAAGCGCGGAATTGACGGGGGCTCCCGGCCACCCTATCCTCTATCACAGCGAACGCGTCCGAATCGTCGAGGACGAACCTCGACATATAATTTAGGGGTTCTTCCCCGACCCATTCTTCCAAAGGCCTCTCCGGAGGATCCAGGTCGACCTCCTCCTCGCGACCTTCCTCGTCCGCCGACAAGTACCACTCCACTTCTTCCTCATCACGACCAGCCATTTATATCTGAAAAGCAGAGGAACTCGGTGAATTCGACAGCCAAATCAAATCCACCCTTCCACTGCAGTTCAAGTGAAAGGGCGTGGTCGCCTGACCGCCCATGTGACGAGCGGGGGGGGGGGGGGGGGGGGGGGACTTTATCCCCTGAGGAAGACCAGGGAGTACACCATTTGTCCTCGACGCACACATCCACTCGTTCCCAGGGCATTCATCTCATTGTCCTCGGGAAATTCAAAGTTCTTTTCAATCCTCCCCGGGGCACTCATCGCAAGAGCCGAGGACGGTCGTTTTCTACCCTAATTTTGAAGGATCCTCCGGCGTATTCGCCGGAAAAACCCACGGCATTCCCAGCGCCCCCAGCGGAGCCGCCGGAAACACCGCCACAAACAGCAAAAAACTCCAAGAAAGGTGTGAAAACTTACGTGATATGAATACATAAAAGTTGTTGCCGGGCAGAAAAATCTCAGATGTCGAGCAGAAACGATCAAAGGTGTCATGCAGAAAATTTCCATGATGTGTAGCTTTTACATCCTTATTGTTTAACTTCACACATCATGGAAATTTCATTATTCTTTAAAGAGAAATATGAGAAAAATAGAATTTATGGTATTATACATTTTTATTTAAATTTTTTTATGAAGAATAGTCTTAGAATCACACGTGTTTGTAAAATATTTTTTAAAGTGGTAAAACTTTTATAAAATGTAAGTGTTTTAAAAATGATGTTAAAATTTTTATAAAATGTAATTTTGAATATTTCATCTTTTTGTTTTAATTTTTTTAATATTAAAATTTTAAAAATCATTTAAATTTAAAACTATTTAAAAAAACATAAAATCGTATTACATTATAATCTTCAATAATATGTATTTATATTCAAGGTTAAATATGTTTTTTGTCTCTCTAAATATCACGCACTTTATTTTTAGTCCTTATAAAGAAACACATATTTTGACCCTACAATAATTTTAGTTTTAGTCCTTGCTATTTTTTAAAATTTTGAAAACTATTTAAGTACTCCTAAATTTTTAAATTTTTGAATAACTTTTTTTTTATGTGTTCAAATTATTATAAAATATTTTTTTATCAAATTATATAATTTTTTTAAAATGAGAAGAATTAAATATAAATTTTTTAAATTTCATAAGATAATGATAAAAGTAATAAAATTCTCGACTTATAAATTAAATTTTGAGTTTTTTTAAAATTTGGATTTTTTTTTTTTATGAATTTTCTATAACGTTCTAAATATATCTGCAAAATAATTATTCAAAACACTATTTTTTTTATAAAAACCAAAATCAAAAGTTGATAATTTTATAAAGACCAAAAACATAATTAACCCTATATTCAATAATATATATTTATATTCAATAATATATTTTCATAAAGTTTTCACTAAAATATATATATTTTCATAAATTTTAACTATATTATAATCTTCAATAATATATATATATATATATATATATATATATATATATATATATATATATATATATATATATATATATATATATATATATATATTTACATTACTTAATATTAAAATTAATCTTTTAATTTGTTAAAAATAAATAATTTATTATTTTAAAATAATTTTTCAGAAAAATTATTTTTCAAAAATATATACTTAGAAACGATAGTCGAATTCCTAGAGATTGATCATAGTATGTAACTTGATAAGATGTTCAATCACATCCAATCAAGACACTAAATGCCAATGGTTGTAAACCCAATAACCATAGCATTTTGGTGTGACAATAATAATTACATCTAAAATGAATGAGCATTTAAAGTTACAATAAGAAGATCAACACTCTTATTGTTCAAATTTGGCAAAGGAATAATATATAGTATAAAGTACAACCCTTTTCCCTCATTTTCACCACCATCAAAATTAAAAGACAAAGATCCTACTCCTCCATCTTATGTTTGTAATGTAGACAACATCTTCTAAGTCTATCATCTTATCTTTATGTACACAACATTTTGAGACAAGAAAATGTGTCTCTCCAAGTCTACATGATCCATCAATGAAAAGATCAAAGTGTATACACCATATAGAATGATCCATCAAAGAAACTTTGAAAAGACTTGGTAATCATCACCAACCAATCTCAATCTATATATAGAACAAACAAAAGGATCTTTCCTTTTTTTCCCATTCAAACGGAAAAAACGCATGCCGCTACGCAAACTCATATCGTCTAAGTTGTTAGGGTGAATTTCCTTTCAAAATTGTGGATGCCTTCAAAACTCATGTGCCACATGTATTTACTATTTAAGGCATATCATCATCACTCAAACTTATTTGTGACGTCTTTCGCTGCATTCTTTTCTTTCGCACGGAAATCCTCCAAACTTCGATACTCTTCGTTGAGCAACTTATCCAGTTCAGGATGTTTTTGCAGTGGTTCTTTTTGGTTGCGCATCTTGCGGTAGTGGTGAAACGCCCTGTCAATGCCATGAATATATGAACAAGGTGTAAATCGCAAGTTATGATAGTGTGAAGTGAAGTGAAGTGTCAAAAAGAGAGATGGGAGTAAATCGGCTTTACCAATATTTTTCCAGGCCATACAGGTTGCCTTTATGATAGTAATCCAGCGTCAGCTGCTCGAAATCCGTGTACAAGTCATCTCTAAATTCCTTCTCCAAACCATAACTGAACAAGGAATTGTTTTAAAAAACAGATGAATTGGATGCATCAATGCTCTAAGGTAAAAAACAGAAGATGAAATCTAAATGATGATTCTAGCTTCTCAAGCACATGACAAGGGCATAATTCGAAGTTGTTACCTGTAGAACCTGAAAAGGCACTCCATGCCATAATAATAATTAGCAGCTGCGTCTTCCTTTGCTAACTTCTTAAATTCATCGTACATAGAAGGAACAAACATGTCTCGAAGAAAATAGCACCAGAACCTGTATAATGTATTCATTTCCTGCATACATTACCCGAAAGGAGGTAGGGAACCTACCAGAATAAGCAAGTCTATGACTGAAAGAAAATAAAAGTTGCAAATAACATAGAAAATGTATAGGCTCGGTGCACAATAAAAGGAACTGGAACAGAAAGAAGCATTAGTTAGTATGGAGATAACAATATTAATATTCTTCATCAATAGTTATGAAATAAAGTTCACCTCACTGCAGCCAATTCCAAGTTTCTTTCTATCATTCAAGCATTTTTTATGATATTTCAGGTACCTGAAAGAAAATAATATTCACATGACAAAACATGAAAATGTAACATATCTTATATCTAGCTGGTGCGCATGAACACATACAGTAAGGAAGCATTATCACTTACTTTTGTTGTTTGAAACCATTTTCTTCTAAAAGCTGGTGGCTTGGATGCTGAAAAGGTGGAAAAGACTTTGGCAATGAACCTACAGGCGGACTACTTCCAGAAAGGCCGCCGTGGCCATGGGGTGAACTACTCAATTTGGAAAATTTGAGACTGCAAAATTAAGATAATTATCGGAAATAGCTTTCCAGGAATAATCAAAACCATCGCCTTTTAGTTACAGACTGTAAACAAAGTGGTTTTTGCCTTCAATAATTTAGAGATTATCTTTAAGATTTTTAAGAAAATCAAAAGCTAATTTTGTGTTTGCTTACTTACCATTATGATTTTTAAAATAAAAAAATAAAAAAAGAACTACCAAAAGTGATTTTTTAGATAAGCACTTGAAATAGCTTCTCATTAGAAAGAGCTTAGATTTTTTTTCTTCCAAATTTTCATTTCTTAAGTTGTAACAAATGGATGAAAACTCAAAATGCTTTTTTAATAGTAACGAGCCCTTTGCATGACCAAAACATGGCACTTGAACAAATAACTACTTCATTTTCATGTTGTTTTCTGATATAATAATTTATATTGATATTCCTATAAAGGAGAAATGTAGGGGGGAAAAGGAAGCAAACCATTATCATAATAGTCCTCAGAAAGAACCATTTTGAACTGACCTGTGATTTTCAGGAGGCGTGGAAGAAAAGAAAAAACCAACTGAATTACTAGGTGGGCTTTCAGATATAACTCCATGAGAATTACGGCCGGTTCCATGATTTCTAAAATTGGACGAGAAAAACCGCTGCGTAAGAGAAGATTGATGCTTGTGAAACACTTTTGGTTTCCTTCGAGAATTATTGCCTCCAGATTCTTCAACACCTCCAACAGCATTCTCGCCTGCATTTATATTTGATGCACCTGAAGTATGGTTTTGAGATTTTAAACCCCGCTCTCTGTTGTTAGAGTTACTCTTTCTACGATTAGACCGTCTATTATGTATAAGTTCCTGTTGAAAGTTGGGTGGAGCAACTAAAAGTTTAATAAAATGAAAATGAAGTACAATAGCAATAATAGATAGTGAAAAATAACATAAGAATGGTGTTCTCAACCTGCTCGTAAAAGTAAAGTCCGTCATTTATTTGAGAAGCAAGCTCTTTGGAGATGGTTTTTGATTCTTTACTACCACCTGTTTCCTTTTTAGGATCACCATTCTGTACATTCAAATAATAAATTGAATATAATTATTAGTTATGAGGAAAAATTGATCATATAATGAAGTATGAACTTGGGGTATGAACAACAATACCTGAGTAACGATTACAAGTCTCTGAACATCCTGCTCAATGACAGCCATCTCATCGTCTTCATCATCAATCCTATTAGGCAACAAAATCCATCAGATGAATGTACAAACAAATGTTTAACTAGGGCATAAAAGATCTAATAGCATTCTGTAGTGGATGCTCAAAGGTAAAGAAAGGTATTTTAACATTTCAAAGAGAACTTGTTAACATAGCATTAACAAAGAGCACAGCATAGTGCAAACAACAAAACAATCAGAAATCCATTTTAAGAACTGATTTTGACAGAAACATGTAGTCTTATATTAAGCATATTCCATATGAACCTTGTAACTCAGAACAAAGAACTGTGAAGTAAGTACCTTCCAGCAGAAGAAAGCTCAGTCTTCTTCTGCTCAAGCTCTATCTCTTCATCAAGCAAAAATGTATTGCCAAAATCATCGGCTGAAACATCAATGTTTCTAGTCTTATTGTAGTTAACTTCTTTGCTTTTGCTGTCAGTTTCTTTTGGGCGGCAAAAGAAATTAATATGAGCTGTGTCAGATTTGCTTGTTACTACATGTGATATATCATTGAATTGATGACTATCAGTATCGTGTTCTTGGCTCATATCAGGAACTTTTAATGTATCTTTGTTTGACAGATTCTGCTCCGTGAAAGTTGAACTATGAGCAGCATCTTTAAGAGTTGCTTCAGAAGACTCCTTAGTGTTATCTCCAACAGCATCAGGACGTGAATTCTCAGTAGCCTCTACAAGTTGGTCCTGTTGAATCTCAGTCACAGATGATTCTGAATTTCCTGAGGATGTTTGAATCCATTTTGACCAATTGTTGCGGTTCCTTATCTTGTCACCCTAAAAATGTAAAAAAATTACAAGATGAAATTTAGAAAATGATTCAAAACTGTTTCTAGAAAAACTAAATCAGTAAAATATCTCCAAATTTTGTTGCCCTTTATGATGTGGTGAGGTGACTTAAAGTTGTCTCCAAAAGTATGACGGTGATATTCTGTGTGTACATTATAGACGGAATATACATATAAGAACAAGTACACAAAACCTAACATTATATCAGAGTCTACCATAGACCCGTTGTTGGACCGCACGTAATATCCATGCCAGGGCCCAATAGCCCTGGGATCGAAGGGGCTATTGGATAAAAGCCCATGTGAACTTAAAAATCGAAGGGCCCAATACTGGTTGTGGTGTGAGTTAAGCCCAAAATCTAATAGAACTTAAAAAACAAACTTTTGGATGCAGAATGCCCCAACACCCATCTCACAGTCCACAAACATTTAATCCTAGCCTCTCATTTTGGGCCTCTCAAATAAACCACCTTGTCTTCATTCAACCATCTTCTCCTTTCAGAAAAACACAATCACACACCCTACCCCCCTGCTGTTGTAACTGCTACTTCTGCAATCCCTAAAAGCTGGAGCACACAATTCTCACTTCTTCTACGCTTCATCATCCTACCTCTAACCAACACACGGCCACCTCCACTTTTCCGGCTGTGTTGTCTTCAACTTTAGGATCCAAGCCACATCTGCAGAAGATCTCACAGCGACCTCTTTCACTTTTCAACAGCTCCATTGATGCCGGACGAAAGTGTTTTTGTTGCTTAACGGCCGTAACACTAACAGCAACGCAAAAGACCCTAGGTTGTGGCCACATGCATTAGAAACCAAACTTAAAAAAGTAAAACAACATGCAAGAATATAACCTGCACTTCCACATTATCGGAACTTCGAAGCACATCTACGATGAAAGGAATGTCTGTGCTCATCCTCGTGACCTACAACAAGAAAACCCACATGACAACGGGAAACTGGAACAGCACAGATTATATAACTCAATGGAATATAGCATACAGCTGTAAAATTATTAAGGAATTGGGAGGCAAAATATGTTTTAGACATACCCTTTTAAAACCAGCAACAGTGGATATGGGAACCCATCCTTGGTCATCCATTACGCCTATAAGATAAGGGTCATCTTTCAAATTTTCATCACTGCCAAATGAAGGCTCAGAAATCAGCAGTTTGACATCAATGAAAGCATCATACTCATAATATAGGTGAGCAGGTGTGAGATGAAGATAGACAAGAGGATATTTACTCATCATGTTAGGTATTTAGGTCAGATATTTACATGTAGCCAAAAGATCAATGTCAATGAAGATAATGAAGCTATAGTCAACAATTAAATCACTTACCTAAAATAATACTCAATCTGATTAAGAATGCGAGCCTCCAAAGGTAGAGTTTCTGGAGCCGGTGGTTGAGGTGGAGTCGGTGGTTGAGGTGCTGGGTTAACAGGAGGATATGGAGCAAAGTGCCGCGGAGGGGGGCCTCTGATGGGGCCAGGGGGTGGCATTGGGACACACCACATCGGTGTATGTCCTATGAACGATTAAAAATAAGGATTAAAGAGCTAAGAAATGGAGCGTTAAAAACCGCAAAGAAAAATAAATGTGAATAAGTGGTTAATTGCATGAACATGTGCAAAAATATAAGATTGTGAATTGGAAATTTTACCTGGGAAGCTTGGACCAACCATGTACCCTGGAGGAGGACCATAAAGCGGAGGTCTTATAAAGGGCCTTGGGCCCAACCCGTGTTGCATAGGAATGTTTGGTCTGGAAGGAAAGGGTCTTTGATGATGCCAACCATGATTCCCATGTTCACCTTGTTCTTGGATATTCGGTCTTCCATTCGGATAATTAACATATGCATTCGGATCCCCATGCACCGGAGGCTGACCATTTTTGGCATCAACAGCGTGAGCAGGTGGAGTAAAACCTTGTCCAGCCGCCGGGGGTACAGGTTTCATCATAGGATTGTCAATATTCTGATAAGGTCCTGGACCAGGTGGATAAGCATACGCTGGAACAGCCATGTGAGGCGGCGGAGGTGCCATAGGACGAAAAAACTGATGCATCTGCTGATGATAAGGCATCGTCGCCATAGGAAAGTGACCTGCATCATTGTTGTGGTTGTTCCGCTTAGGGCCTGGCTTTTGATAACGTGGTGACGGCATCTTATTCAACGGATTGAAGTTTCCAGAACCATTTGATTTCTGTCGAGTTACAGATCCATACAACAACAAAAATCAGTCAAACATGCAAAAAACAATATGACCTATGACCTAAGAATTTCGTCAAACATCATGACTATGATGTTTTTTACTCTTTATTAATATACCATCATATGTTAATGCTAATCAATAATCATAATTCTTAACCTTGCAATATTTGAACAAAACCATTAAAAATAGAATAAAACAAAACATGTTTCTCCAAAACAAACAAACTCAATCAAAACAATATCACATAAACTAACAAGATCTTCTTTATTTAATTCACCAAACCATAATGCTATCAATTAGAACAACAAAAAAACATCAAACAAACCTGAACAGAAGAAGCTCTTGGAGCAACCTCACCAACACTTGACACAGAAACAACAGCAACATCCTCAACCTTAGCAGAAACAGTCTCAACATGATTCTTAGGTTTCTGAGTCTGAGCATCAGAAAGAGCTGGCCAGGACTTAGTCCCAATCACCATAACAGGAACATCAACACTTTTCCCATCAACACCACTGGGTCTCTTCCATGGAGACTTAGGAGCACTAATCTCCTTCTGATCTTCACTAATCTCACTATCAGCAATCACCATAATTGTTTCTCTCTCACAATTTCCTAAACCTCACGTGGCAAATTAAACAAAGAATCTAAACAATACAAAAAAGGGTAATCAGATATTGACTTAAAAAAAGTGGAAAAAAATTGAAACTTTATGTGCTAGTTGGAATCAATGATGTTGAAAACAAGAATCAATGGAAGAATCAGTTGAAAATCTCATGTGAGTGTATGTGTGAAGAGAGAGAAAGAGTTTTAGGGTGAGTGTGGCAAAAGAAGCAAAATTAGGGTTTGTGAGTGATGTAGTGATGCTGTTTATGAGACAGTTGCAAAGGTTTAACAGACGCCAAAAAAACAAAAGTGTGCGGTAACTCTTGAAAGGGTGAAGGACAAAAATGTAATATACTCTGAACTTGTTGCTTGATTTTCGTAGGTTGTTTCTATATTTTGGGGAATTTTTTTATTCAACACTTTTTTTTTACTCTTTGAAAGTATGAAGAAGTAAAATTTCAAGTTATAATCTTCAAAATTAGAATTTTAAAGATTTAGATTGGGTTTATAGTAACTAATTTATCTAGAATGTCGGGAATTAGTTTTTTTCCATTTAAAATTTGAATAGAAGATTGGAAATCAAATTTTTCCTTTTTAAATTTGATACGCGTGTATTTTAAAAAAATAAAAAATTTATTGATTGATGTGTTAAAGAGATAATTTAATATTTTAAAAAATAAATTAAATTAGTCGATTTAATCGGTTAAATTAAAATTTGGAAATTAATTTGGTTGGCTCAATCTTTTAAAAATCGCTAGTGGATCAAAATCGAAGTTAAACCGGAAAATTTGAATTGAACCGTTCGAAACCATTCGAACCAAAGAACCGGTGTTGGTTTTGTAAAACCGTCTGGTTCAAAATGATTCATCAGATTTACCATTTTTTGAATTTTTTTAAAAATTTTAATATGTCAATATTAAAACTTAACATACATTTCTTAATCACAAAAAATAATTATGTGTGTTTTTTACAATTATACAAATTTCTATGTTCTGTCGCTTTATTATAATTTTTCTTTAAATCACATTCTATCATTATCATGTCGTCTCTTTTAAACATAGTCACTATGTTCAACTCTATTATTTGTTGTTGTCAATTAAGACTTGTTTATCGTAGTTCAACTCAAATTCGATTTTTTGTTATTTAATAAAGTATATTATATTATTTATATTTTGATATTCTATCTTATTTAATTTAGGTATTCTTAATTATTTGAATTTTATTTTAGTTATTATATTTTATTATTTTGATTTTTATTTGAATTAGTTTAATTTATTTTATTGTAATTCTTTAGTTTGGTCAAAATATTCTTAAATGATGGTTGAAATGAAGTATAGAACTATGTTATGTATTATTGATATTGTTGTATTAAATTTCTAATGGATTTTTGAAATATTTATTTTATAAAGTTGAGAACATATAATAATATGTGACATATCTATGAAATTTAGTTTCATATTATTAGCTTATTTAATAAACGGTTCAACGGTAAGTTTAACCAATTTAACCAATTAAATCTTAAATCGTAAGTTTTACTGGTTCGATCTCCGGTCCGATTTTTAAAACATTGGAATAATTATAAAGGAACAAATTTTTTTGGGTTATCGAGTGAAAATGAAGTAAAAAAACAAAAACAAAAACTACATCCTACAAAATTAACTAAGTTTTCGAATAGTGACGGAAGATGAAATTCAAGATAGTTGAAGAAGAATTAGTATATCACTAAATTATCGGACAACTCATGCCTGATTTGAATGGTATATAATTGATTAAGATTATCTTAAAAATAAATAAAATTAAATAAAATGTTATATATATATATATATATATATATATATATATATATATATATATATATATATATATATATATATATATATATATATATATATATATATATATATATATATATATATATATATATATATATATATATATATATATATATATATATATATATATATATATATATATTTCATGAATTGACATTATTGTATATAATATTTGATGTCGAATTAGTATATTGATCATCTTCATATGTTAACTTCAAACTTCGTCTTAAAGTGGCTCTTGAAATTGTCATAAATAATTGACCGTGTGAAAAAACAGGTGAAAGAATATAAACTCCAACACTAGTTAATGATTGACCTTTGACTCTGATTAATTGTCATTGCAAAAGAAAAGACCAATAAAAATTGTCTTCGCTGAAATTTGAAAGGAAATATGATATAGGATGGTGTCAAGGACATTCTAAGCATAAAGATCTTATCTCTAATATTATTTTCTGATATAACATTTCCTTCAACAACATATTTTCTCATCTTGGTGATTATCAGTCGAGTCACATTGCATAATCCTAAATATTGGTAAGTGTTTCTTAATAACATTACTGGTACCCCAACTTTAAATTTTAACATGTGATTTGGGTTCCAAAAATATTAATGGTGTTCAAAAATTCTAGTGTGTGAATGTTATCGACTACATCAATTTTTGTATTGGATGAATACGAACTATCATAGCTCAAATATGTTTTTTCGCCCGAAAATAAATCCAACACATAATCATCAATCATATCAAGGTTGGTATTTTTTGAAGTCAATGTATCCCTGTTTTGGAAAAAAGATACATCTTTAATATATTGTCTAAGATGTAAGGATATATGTTTTTGACAATTGTTGCAAAAGGAGTGTTATATGTTGAAATAAGCAAGTGTTTTGGGATATAAGTGTTATATCAATGTCATTAGAATCTTCAATTGAACCATCACCAATATCCAAAACTAAATACAAAATTGCTTTAGCTCATCATTATATGAATTTGGTTAACCATTTATAAGTCTCATATTCCTTACCAACGTAAGAACTTCACATGAATCCCATAAGTATAATTATTTTATTGTAGTGTGCACAACTTTTGACCTGGTTCTTTTTGGTATAACATGTAGAATTTGTCTAAAATCACTGTCGTGTACCACATCTTTACCACCAAATGGAGTGTTTGTATTAGCTTCGTCATAAGGCTGATGAATGTCTCTAAAAGTTCTATCAGCAACTTCAAAGTAATGTTTATGTATCATTGGAGCTTCATCTCAAATTATTAGCTTTTCTTTGCTATTAAATTAGCTAATTGAGATTTCGGTTTTATGAAACACGTTGAACACTCGTCAATATTTAAAGGGATAAAAAACCTATAATGTGCAGTTCTCCCCCAGGTATTAGTAATGAAACAATTTGATAACCACGAATCACCGTCAAATTTCTGACTTGATGCATGTGTCGTTTTAGCTTATTTTATCACCTTTTATAGTGGTATGTTATTGTATTATGTCAATTTCAAGTATTTGTCAAAGAGGAGCATCCGTGCGAGAAATTAGGACGAAAATGACAAAGAACAGAGAAAATGGCGTGTTTCTGCACTCATGGTGTTCACCATGGCGTTGGTCATGATGTGGCAGTCAAGGCGCCACATAAGCGTCAGGGAAAAGGCAATGGACCAAGCTTTAGAGGTCATGGTGTTCGCCATGGACCTTGAAGACCGCGTCATACCCATTTCGAACTCATGGCGTCCATCATGGGCTTTGAGCACTGAAAAATACTAACTGACTGACTCAGTCTTCTCCCATTTCAACCGATAGTTCTCTCACTCCTCCTACACGATTTTGGACGTTTTTTTGTTAGTTTATAGCTCTATAAATAGGTTGAACTTTTAGTTTTTCATTATCCAAGTTTTAGAGAATTAATTTTAGGCTGAAATTCTACTATTGTAAAAGTAGTTATTTCTCACGTTGAGGAACTGATGTATCCTAACATATGAGTTTAGGGATGTTTTGTGTATACTTGAATCGATCATACAAAAATCTTGTCGAATTTATTTTCAGATTTCTAATTCAGAGTTTTATTTTATTTCTAGATTCTATTTGCAAGTTTTGATTTATTAAGTTTTTAATTTATGTCTTAGTTTTGAATTTTTATTAATGTTGTTGTTGTTATTTTTCACTATCATTCTCTGTGTTGTTTCAATATATATATATATATATATATATATATATATATATATATATATATATATATATATATATATATATATATATATATATATATATATATATATATATATATATATATATATATATATATATATAAGAATTGGAACGTACAATATCAATACAATATATATCAGTTTGGTGAAACTGATATATATTACATTGATATTGATATTATATGTTTCAATTCGTACAATATCAATATCAATGTAATATATATCATTTTCACCAAATTGATATATATTGCATTGATATTGTACGTTCCAATTCTTATATATATATATCGTTTCTATTTTAATTATATACTTAATTGCAACTATGGTCCCCCTATTTTGTAGTTTTTTGGGTTTTGATTCCCCTTTTTAAAAATCACTGTTCCTTTTTTAAGTTTTGAGTTTCATTTTAGTCTTTATTGACTAGGATAATGAATTTATTAATATTAATTTAATTAATTAATTCTTAATATTTTATTATTAATTAATTAATCAAAATTTTAAATGAAACACTTTGGGCCTTCAGTTGTTGGTCCATATCTTTGTTTCATCTTTCTAACTCATAATTGAATTATTGTGTTTGTTTCAGTTTTATAAACACTTTTATGATCTATAGAAAAATTAATGTGAAACTTCTAAAAGACAATTTATACAACAACAGTATCTCCTTCGTCTTTATTGCAGCAACTCCCTATCAAATATTAGTCTGAAACTTTTGAGGTTAGATTAGGGTTATGTATGTGATTCTCTTAATTTTGATCTTAATGTTGGTTCTAATGGTGCTTTAGTTCCTTAATCTCTGGCTTAGTTTTTACTACTCATTTCATTTTGATTACGTAAAGGATGAAACTTATCCCACTAGTTTTTCTATTGCCTTTTGTATCAAAATTTGGAACATTGTAGCACAATGGATTACAGTAGAGGAGATTCATGAAAGAGACGACATGGAGC